ATTTCAGCGAAGTATCTCTATAAAGTCGGCATCAGATCTCCACCCACTGCATAAACCCCTACAGGTCTTGGAGCGAGGAAAGAATCCACCTGCTGCTCCCCACTACATTCCGTTCCATAGCGCTTACCTCAATTTGATGTTGAACGTGCGCGCCTTGCTTAAAGTAGTGCCCCTGTTGTCAGTAGAATGTGATCGGGCGGAATGCCGTGCTGGGTGCCATCGGAAGGGAATTTCAGCGAAGTATCTCTATAAAGTCGGCATCAGATCTCCACCCACTGCATAAACCCCTACAGGCCTTGGATCGAGGCAAGAATACACCTGCTGCTACCCACTACATTCCTTGGATCGAGGAAAGAAGACACGTGCTGTTACCCACCCACAGCACGCACCCCTCCAGGTCTTGGATCGAGGCAAGAATACACCTGCTGTGACCCACACACTGCACGCACCCCTACAGGGCTAGGATCGAGGAAAGAATACACATGCTGTTACCCACCCACTGATTACACCCCTACAGGTCTTGAATCGAGGAAAGAATACAGCTGCTGTTACCCACACACTGAATGCACCCCTCCAGGTCTTGGATCGAGAAAAAAACTGCTGTTACCCACCCCCTGCATGCACCCCTACAGATCTTGGATCGAGGAAAGTATGCACCTGCTGCTACCCACACCCTGCATGCACCCCTACAGGGCTTGGATCGAGGAAAGAGTACACCTGCTGTTACCCCCCCACTGCACGCACCCCTCCAGGTCTTGGATCGAGAAAAGAATTCACCTCTTGCTACCCACACACTGCATGCATCCCTACAGGGCTTGGATCGAGGAAAGGATACACCTGCTGTTACCCCCCCCCTGCACGCACCCCTAAAGGTTTTGGATCGATCGAGGAAAGAATACACCTGATGTTACCCACACATTGCACGCACCCCTACAGGGCTAGGATCGAGGAAAGAATACCCCTGCTTTTCCCCACACCCTGCATGCACCCCTACAGATCTTGGATCGAGGAAAGAGTACACCTGCTGTTACCCGCACACTGCATGCACCCCTACCGGTCTTGGATCGAGACAAGAATACACCTGCTGCTACCCACTACATTCCGTTCCATACCGCTTACCTCAATTTGATGTTGAACGTGCGCGCCTTGCTTAAAGTAGTGCCCCTGTTGTCAGTAGAATGTGATCGGGCGGAATGCCGTGCTGGGTGCCATCGGAAGGGAATTTCAGCGAAGTATCTCTATAAAGTCGGCATCAGATCTCCACCCACTGCATAAACGCCTACAGGTCTTGGATTGATCGAGGAAAGAATACCCCTGCTGTTACCCCCCCCCTGCACGCACCCCTACAGGACTTGGATCGAGGAAAGAATCCACCTGCTGTTACCCACGCACTGCATGCACCCCTACAGTTCTTGGATCGAGGAAAGAGCTGCTGTTACCCACCCACTACACGCACCCCTACAGGTCTGGGATCGAGAAAAGAATACAGCTGCTGTTACCCACACACTTCATGCACCCCTACAGGTCTAGGATCGAGGAAAAAATACCCCTGCTGTTACCCCCCCACTGCACGCCCCCCTACAGGTCTAGGATCGAGGCAAGAATACACCTGCTGATACCCACCCACTGCATGCACCCCTACAGTTCTTGGATCGAGGAAAGTATGCACCTGCTGCTACCCACTACATTCCGTTCCATACCGCTTACCTCAATTTGATGTTGAACGTTCGCGCCTTGATTAACGTAGTGCACCTGTTGTCACTAGAATGTGATCGGGCGGAATGCCGTGCTGGGTGCCATCGGAAGGGAATTTCAGCGAAGTATCTCTATAAAGTCGGCATCAGATCTCCACCCACTGCATAAACCCCTACAGGCCTTGGATCGAGGCAAGAATACACCTGCTGTGACCCACACACTGCACGCACCCCTACAGGTCTAGTATCGAGGAAAGAATACACCTGCTGCTACCCACTACATTCCGTTCCATAGCGCTTACCTCAATTTGATGTTGAACGTTCGCGCCTTGCTTAACGTAGTGCACCTGTTGTCAGTAGAATGTGATCGGGCGGAATGCCGTGCTGGGTGCCATCGGAATGGAATTTCAGCGAAGTAGCACTATAAAGTCGGCATCAGATCTGCGCCATCGCAAGTATGTCTCTCTCATCAACAAGGTGGTGCACACTGAGCCTTCAATTTTGCTATGGCATATTCAAGGGGGACAGAACGTGTGGTTTTTTTTTTTAATTTTCAACACGTTTGTCCTCTGGTCCTTGAATATGGGCCAAACCTTTGAAGCCCCTCATCCCAGCATGAATTTAACCAATTTAATCACACTGTGATGTTTTGTTAATGAAAAGAAGTAATTTTAAGATTTTCAACATATTTGATCTCTTGACCTTGAACACCATACACCTACTATTAACCACTGCATGTGTATCGTAAAAGGCGTCTAATATTAGAACACTCTGCAGAATTGGAGATTTGCTTTTTTGCCCTCTAATTGGGGACACAAAAGCGACCAAAATAAATCTGCTGCACCTATTACAACATTTGGGAACTTTATTTTTCTTTCTACTTCTAACTGCCTTTTATTTCCTAGCTCGTGGCTTGGCAATGTATCACTTACGGCTTTAATGTTGAGCGTTCGCCCAGGCAAGGAAGGCAAAAGGTTCTGTCCCCAGGCCGGGACATACCCAAGTCCTTAAAAATGGTAGTTGTTTTTTCCTGCTAAACGTTCAGCATTAAGGGTAATGACAACAACTGGTTCACCCGTTGCCAGTATAATGTGACCGGGCGGAGTGCTGTGCTGGGTGCCTTTGGCATTGTATATCAGTGAGATAGCATTATAAAATTGGCATCAGATCCGCGCTATCACAAGGAGGCATATCCTGTCCCCAGCACACATACACACATGCACTCATACACAACACACATGGAGGTACAACTGTAATAGGGGGAGGTCCGGAGAGGGTTTTGCATCCGTTGTCACTCCGTTAAATCCGTTTCGTGATCGTATAGTTTTTAGCAATGGTAACGAGTCGACAACTTCCCCTGCAGTCCTCTCTAGACCTCGCCTCTTTCGTCAGGTTACAGACCTGTTTTCACTACAGGTTCGATCGCTGGATGTAGTGGTAATACCAGCCATTGATTCAATAACTCAACAAGGTGTTTAAAATACAAGTAACTGTTTATTAACAAGACGGAATGAATATGTACAACAAGTTTAACAAATACAAAGCATAGCATTAGTGCCAAACAATGACAACTAATGTTAAGAAACCCAATCCCTACGTAGAGTAATATATAATGACCTATCCTACCTAACAGTACTACCAGTAGACTACGACCACGTGCTCCTAGCTCCCTATAGGTCTACAGCGAACCACCATGTATCGATGTCTAAGCCCGAAGCCCCTGACTATCCCTTAAAACATGTACTGTAGTTCCTATAGCACTCTATATATCCAAGGAACGATAACTTCATGTAGTCCTACGGTATTGGTACTGTTAGCAGCACCTCGGCCCATGTTTTGCACTGTTAACATCGCATGAGGCGGTAATGTTCTCCTCACCAGGAGAAGTGGGTCGGCTCACCGACCCTGTCAAGACACTGATCCCCGCCCGGACCCGCTGTTTTATACCCCCTGCCCCCCACCAAATAGCCTCGAAGATGAGTGACCAACTGTTTATCTCGAACCCAGCCTCACCATCTAAAAGCATGTGAGCGAGGAGAGGGAACCTATTCCTGTTATTACTATCACCCACTTCCGGCCGTCTCAAAAGTGTAAACACACAGATTTCAGCACCGGTATCGTAGCAGCTGATCGCCAGGAATCCTACACTGAACGAAAAACTCTACCCTAAATAAGGGTGAATAACACAGAAAGTAACAGAGCCCAGTCTCTAAATCATAAACAACAATCATACTTAACAAAGTAACACAAATGTGAGAAGTAAACAACCTACCCTCCCACACTCCTCCCCCCTAAGATCAAAGTAATATTTTTTTTTTCTATAATAAATGTACTTTGTCTAATAACAATCTTAACAAATAACCACGTTATATGACTATCGACTGCTAATGTTAACCCACGTTAGGCTACAGATAAACGTTGCCTACCTTTTCCTAGTTCCAATATCTATTCTACCAAGTGATGCAAATGTAATTTGCATGACATAATCAACAAATATATATGTCCATTGCCATATTTGTGAATACAGGTATTTATCCAAGTCCTAAACTTTGTGCCACGTGCTACAAAAGTTCATCAAGGTTCTGTTAGTCCACATAATGCATGACACACATATTTACAATGCATAACACTTATTCACACGCGTTGAAATACGCAATAAAGCTTAAGTATCCCCGCGAATCTGTCAGGATACTTCATTAATCCATCAGTCAAGCTTGTGGTATGGTTCATTTCCCTCCTGGTCTCATGGTTTGGTCGGCGGTTGGGAGCGTACGGAGTTCCCCGTTCCCATCGGCTCGGTGTCCCTTGTTGGACCATCATAATCTTCTTGAACATTTTACGGATATGGAACTCGGTGGAACTGTTTACAGTTCCTTGAGCTCCAAACCCCTGTCCACGCCATGGTACAGCTCCTGTACTTATTTCCAGAGACACTAGTGTTAGGCTTTGTACCTTAGCATTATTCCTGTCTGTTCAAACTAGACAGTATTGTCTCTACCTCGTATATGTCTGGTACTATATACAAGTTCTAAGAAGATCACATCTCTACTTACAAAATACACATATTACTGTACTAAGGTTTATGTTTACTACCCTTTGGCTAACTTCATCTAACTCTGCATATAGGGAGTAAAGGTGGCTCCTATATTAATTCAATAATGACAACTATTAACAGTTGCTCGGATTGTTACAGATACCCCACCCATTTCCGGTGTTGTATCAACTACTTTCCAATATAAACACGAACTATAACAACACATTTCCTACTACGTATTTACACATCTACACATCCATAGCTACACCTGGTTACGGAGGATACCAAACCTTTGGTCTACCAATAGTCACACGACTTGTCTGACAGTACCATTTCCTGTGTAGTAGAGTCACCAGATTTGAACCAGATATTTTACACTCATCAGTATGACCCGTAAGTAATACACGAACTAGTTGATCAGACCTAATCATACCAAGCATAGTCATCGCAATCATCACTATCGTCATACCTATCAGAAGTTTGATTGAGGTAGCATTGTTGGTACTAGCTAAATAAGTCTTCTCATAAGATTCGTTTTTCAAGACTGAGACTTCATTCGAATCGTTCACGGAATGAGTATCTCCCTCAGTAGTGTTCCTATTAACAGCATTACTTCCTTTACGAAGTTTAACTCTGATTGGATGTTCACTATCCACAATCTCATCTATCTTTGTACATTCCTGACCTATGTCCTTAGTTACTGTATCTACAGTACTAATTACCAACTCTGGCTGTTTACGGACAATTTGTGGTTCCATGTTCATTACAGATAGTACTACATTGTCACTATCACGTCTCTGTTGACTTAAATGAAAATTTCCCTGACAGGTCTCAAGTATTCCCTTTTCTAACAGGATTGTACTATTGTATTTCACCAAGAAATCCATTCCCAGCATCCCAGACAGGTTATCTACGGTAGCCACTACAAATATTTGTTCAAAAGTATTTGAGCCCATTTCGAAAACTAAAGGAATACACCCTTTAACTTCCACTTGGTTACCATCCGCTGTAGTGATATTTGTTTCAAATCTCTGTAGCGACAGTTCATCTAACCCCAATTTTGAAAACTCTGCATAGGAGAGAACAGAAACAGGAGACCCAGTATCTATCAGCATCATACATGTTACATTGTGCACCTGCACATCTGTATAAAGACAACCCATGTCTGAATATACATCATGTAATGTTTGTCGAACCTGACTTGACACCGTCTCTTGTTTTTCTGTTTTCCCTTGAGTCTTCTCTCTTTTCTCCAACCTTGTTTTATGCCTAGAAATACATAATGTGTGTATTGCATCTTGACCAGCTGGGATCTTGGCTGCGACTTCAGCTTTCCTTTGGTCTGACTCTACTTTTGCTACCCTTTCTTCCCTTTCCTTCAGAGTACTGAGCCTAGCACAGTCCCTTACGTAATGCCCTACTTCTTTACAAAAATAGCAAGCACCAGTTTTTGTAGTTGTCTCGATTGAACGTTTTCTATGCTCATTTCTACTCCTAGACAAATTACCTATCTGTTTATCGATAAGTTGGGTTATTGTCTCTTGTGTCAATTTCTCCTCATTCTCATATTCATTAGATTTAGACTTAGCGCTAACCGTTTGTAAAGTACAAACTTTCACTGAATCGCCATGAAGTTTAATGGAGGTGCAACCTAACACTGCTTCAAACTCAACAGCTGAGGAAATAGCTTCGTCTAATGTTTGTGGGTGACTAAACGTAACCTTCTTTCTCATTTCACAGTTCCTCAACCCATTGATAAACTGATCTACTACCTGGGTCTCCAGGTATGTATATGGTAGCTCTGGATAAGCTAACAAAGCTAGTCTCCTTAGAGTATACCCAAAGTCAGCAGCCGATTCACCTTTTCCCTGCTGTTTATTCCTAAACTCACACCTATGGGCAACACTACGTTCCTTAGGATTAAACCTTTGAGTCAGTGTATTCTTAATTGCCTGATAATTGGACAGCTGACCACTAGTTAGGCTACTAAGAAGCTTCTGAGCAGTTCCCCGAAGACTCATACTTAATTGCTGAGCTTTCTCAGTTTCTGTCCACCCATTCCATGTAGAAACCTGCTCAAAATGTACTATGTAGTCCTGCCAATCACTACTTGATCCATTAAAGGTATCGGGTTGCTTTTCTCTACGAGAAACCCTAGCCCTACTCTGACCCAAAAATCTATCTCTAGGTGAAGCGGTTGTAGGTGTTAGTGGGATAGTTGCTACCCCTTACACCTGTCCATCTCCAGAAGACATCCATGTAGGCATAGGTGGGATAGTTTCTACCCCTGACACCTTCTGTCTATCTCCGGGTGACGAACATGGAACATATACACTACCATGCCCCTCTGTATCTCCCTCTATGCTATCATAATCCCGATCAGAGACTAACTCAGTATCACTATTTTTATCCATATTTATTGGTAGATTTCTATTAAAAAAATGCAACAACAACAAAAATATCAACCTAAAAACTTGTAAACTCTAGTAGACAGTATATTGTTAGAGGCCTTGAATATCTTTCAATAGAGTATCTACAACGTCACAAATACAAATTATACCAATAAAACTTGAGTACAAAATACCGCTAATATGTATTATTTTTAAAACAACAAAGTGATCATGAATCATGCATCAGTACTTACACAACTACATCCTGGTCGAGGCACCATACTGTAATAGGGGGAGGTCCGGAGAGGGTTTTGCATCCGTTGTCACTCCGTTAAATCCGTTTCGTGATCGTATAGTTTTTAGCAATGGTAACGAGTCGACAACTTCCCCTGCAGTCCTCTCTAGACCTCGCCTCTTTCGTCAGGTTACAGACCTGTTTTCACTACAGGTTCGATCGCTGGATGTAGTGGTAATACCAGCCATTGATTCAATAACTCAACAAGGTGTTTAAAATACAAGTAACTGTTTATTAACAAGACGGAATGATTATGTACAACAAGTTTAACAAATACAAAGCATAGCATTAGTGCCAAACAATGACAACTAATGTTAAGAAACCCAATCCCTACGTAGAGTAATGACCTATCCTACCTAACAGTACTACCAGTAGACTACGACCACGTGCTCCTAGCTCCCTATAGATCTACAGCGAACCACCATGTATCGATGTCTAAGCCCGAAGCCCCTGACTATCCCTTAATACATGTACTGTAGTTCCTATAGCACTCTATATATCCCAGGAACGATAACTTCATGTAGTCCTACGGTATTGGTACTGTTAGCAGCACCTCGGCCCATGTTTTGCACTGTTAACAGCGCATGAGGCGGTAATGTTCTCCTCACCAGGAGAAGTGGGTCGGCTCACCGACCCTGTCAAGACACTGATCCCCGCCCGGACCCGCTGTTTTATACCCCCTGCCCCCCACCAAATAGCCTCGAAGATGAGTGACCAACTGTTTATCTCGAACCCAGCCTCACCATCTAAAAGCATGTGAGCGAGGAGAGGGAACCTATTCCTGTTATTACTATCACCCACTTCCGGCCGTCTCAAAAGTGTAAACACACAGATTTCAGCACCGGTATCGTAGCAGCTGATCGCCAGGAATCCTACACTGAACGAAAAACTCTACCCTAAATAAGGGTGAATAACACAGAAAGTAACAGAGCCCAGTCTCTAAATCATAAACAACAATCATACTTAACAAAGTAACACAAATGTGAGAAGTAAACAACCTACCCTCCCACACAACCTTAAATGACCTCAGGTGTTAATAGGACGTTAAAACAAAATACAAGAGGCCCAATGGGCCTGAATCGCTCACCTGGTATTAATCGCACACTTGTAATCTTTCAGCTACAGGCAAAATATCTGTGTTCTATTCATTTAAATCTATTAAATGATTTAAACATAGGACGCCTGTGACCTTGAAAGCCGAACAAGGACATTGAGTTGAACAGAGTGTATAGCCTTCCGTCCCAGTATGCTTTTGGCTAAATATCATTACCCTGGACCCTTTGAATATATTTGGAACAAGTAATTTAAAGATTTAAACATATTTGATCTCTGTGACCTTGAATATGAGCGAAGGTCATTCATTTGAACAAACTTGGTAGCCCTTCATCCAAGCATCTAACTGGCAACATATCATAACCCTAGACCTCTTGGTAATTCAGAAGAAGTTGTTTAAAGGTTTTAAACATATTTGACCCATGTGACCTTGAAAATGGGTGAGGGTCATTTGTTTGAACAAAGTTGGTAGCCCTTCATCCCAGCATGTTACTGGCTAAATATCATCATCCAAGGACTTTTGGTTATTGAGAAGAAGTTGTTTAAAGGTTTTAAACATATTTGACCCCTGTGACCTTGAAAATGGGTGAAGGTCATTTGTTAAAATAAACTTGGTGGCCCTTCATCTGAGCATGATACTGGTCAAATATCCTTATCCTATGCCTCTTGGGTATTTAGAAGTTATTGTAAGGTTTTAAACATATTTGACCCCTGTGACCTTGAAAGTGGGTCAAGGTAATTCATTTGAACAAATTTGGTAGCCCTTCATCCCAGCATGCTACTGGCCAAATATCATTATCCTAGGCTTTTTGGTTATTGAGAAGATGTTGTTTCAAGGTTTTTAATATGCTTGATCCCTGTAACCTTGAAAATGGGTGAAGGTCATTTGTTTAAATAAACTTGGTAGCCCTTCATCTGAGCATGGTATTGGTCAAATATCCTTAACCCTATGCCACTTGGGTATTTAGGAAAAGTTGTTTATAGGTTTTAAACATATTTGACCCCTGTGACCTTGAAAGTTGGTCGAGGTCATTCATTTGATCAAATTTGGTAGCCCTTCATCCATGCATGCTACCGACTCAATATCAGTACCCTTGGCCTTTTGGTTACTGAGAAGTCGTTTGAAGATTTTAAGACATCTGACCCCAGTGACCTTGAAAGTGGGTCAAGGTAATTCATTTGAACAAACTTGGTAGCCCTTTATCCATGCATGCTACAGGCCCAATATCAGTACCTGGGGAATTTTGGTTATTGAAAAGAGGTCTTTTGAAGATTTTAAGACATTTGACCCCTGTGACCTTGAAAGTGGGTCAAGGTAATTCATTTGAACAAACTTGGTAGCCCTTTATCCATGCATGCTACAGGCCCAATATCAGTACCCTGGGCCTTTTTGTCACTGAGAAGAAGTCGTTTGAAGATTTTAAGACATTTGACCCCTGTGACCTTGAAAGTGGGTCAAGGTAATTCATTTGAACAAACTTGGTAGCCCTTTATCCATGCATGCTACAGGCCCAATATCAGTACCCTGGGCCTTTTTGTTACTGAGAAGAAGTTGTTTGAAGAGTTAAACACATTGTACCCCTGTCACCTTGAGAGTTGATCAAGGTCATTCATTTGAACAAACATGGTAGCCCTTCATCCCAGCATGCTACAGGCGCAATATCAGTACCCTGGACCTTAACACATTTGACCCCTGCTACCTTGAAAATGGGTCAAGGTCATTCATTTGAACAAACTTAGTAGCCCTTTCTCCCAGTATGCAACAGGCCCAATATCAGTACCATGGGCCTTTTGCTCATTGAGAAGTTGTTTTAAGTAAAATATTGACCCCGGAAAATGTAGGTCAAAAGCAGCATCCGAAGCATCCCATGTAATAATCATCCTTAGATACATAGGCCATGCAAGTTTAGTTGATGTACAACAAGTAGTTACTTAGTAACTGACCTTAACCAAACTTCTTAACCTGGTCACTGAAGCGGAAAATGTAGATCAGAACCAGCATCCGAAGCATCGCATGTAATTAGCATCCTTAGATACATAGGCCATGCAAGTTTAGTTGATGTGGGATAATTAATAACTTGGAAACTGAGCATAAACATTCTTCTTAACCTTAGTGCAGACAGACAACCAGAAGGACGGACAGGAATCACCAATCTATAAGCCCTGATTGTGTAGTAATCCGGCAAATAAGAAGAAACTTTTAATGAAAACCAGTAACACAAAAAAACAGGAGCATTTTGATTTATTTTACGGTATTGCCTCTAAAAGAATCTATACAATATCAATGCGAATCATGAAACAGGTAATATAACAAAAATATCTGGAATACTGACGTAAACATGACATTTATACAAAAACAAAAAAATAAAAACAATTGTAAGTAAACAGGAATAACATACAAACATAAATAGCAAATTAATGGATGGTGACCCAACAAAGGACTAGTAAATGTATAACGGTAAATCTCACAGGGTAAACGCTACCGTAGGATAGTTACCTTAGACCCAGTAGGCATCATAACATTACCTTAGACCCAGTAGGCATCATAACATTACCTAAGATAACTCGGCTTTGTGAAGGGTAATAAACGATTATTGTCATTTTAAAAGTAATCCATTTTTTCTTTCAAGAAATAAATCTCATAGTTAAAAATGATACTTGTTTTATATGTATACAAAAACTGTATTTGTTACCTACAATTTTTTTATGAAATTCTGTTTTGCAGCAACTCCTTCCTCAAAAAGTTCTAATACTATTCAAACTACTTTAAAAACTTGTAAAAAAAATTAAAGAAACATTTTTTTTATCACATTTCAAACTTCAATTCTTTCATGAAAGATAAATCTGTCAAAAACAAGGTATATGGTGTAAATGAATCCGTATAACACCTGAAAATTGTTTGATATCTTTTATAAACCAGAAAATATTTGAAAAAGATGACGAGAATTCAAAGAATTTCAGTTGTCGTAAGTTCATTGAATGCTTCAAATAAGAATAAATGTCTATAATAATTTATCACTCAGACCATTTTAACTTTCCCTACACCAATCATGGTTAAACCACAATGTAACACCCTAGACATGTTTTCGTTGTTAATTCACTGATTGTGACTTTATATAAAATAATTTGCGACAACATAATAAAAGTGTTGATGGCAGGTTTCACAATCTTGCACACAGGGGAGGCCGTCCTTAAATGACCATAGCTGTTGATAGGACGTTAAACAATACTAAACCAAACCAATCCAGCCTCTGTGAATAGCAGAGGCATATTTCATGTGTTTACCAGCGACAGAGAGGGGGTTTCTTATAGTTATAAACAATACTGACTTATTGTGTTAATGTATCTCTTGTTATAATCAATCACTGTTTAGAACTACAGAAGGTTACCAACTGATTTTAAAAAACTGGACCAATAGCTAACATTCATTTGCAAAATATAGGTTATTTGCCAAGTGACAATTTGAAACAATCAACTGGAGCTATACCAAAGTTTTACTTTTTACACAAACAATCTACATTGTTTGTGTAAAAAGAAAAACTTTGATATCACATATTTCCAAACTGATAAATCTTATTGAAAATTAACTTTAGCAGATAAGTACAGGTCTTTGCCAAGTTCATAAGTTCACAAGTTAGTTTGCAAAAATATCAATTGAATCTCAGAGTGTCCCTTCACCAGATGACTAGTACAATGCTTTCCTAATGTTACTGCACCATAGAATTATTGCCAGCACAGAGATTAAATA